ATGGTTTTTTTTTTTTTTTGAGAGATTTTCACTGTAGGGCGCGTGCGCTCGCCAGACAGAGAGAGAGAGACATAGAGACAGAAAGCGAGAAATCACCCCCCAGGGGGGATGGTCATGCCGCAATCCCTTCTCCTCCATTCTCCTCTCGGGATCTTGGGCACACACGCACACGCGCCCGGCGTGAGTTTTAAGCCACCGGGTCCGGGACACGAACCGCGGTCGACTATGTGGGAGTCCAGCGACATAGCCATTACGCTAACTGCTGGTTCCCAACCATTATGTTTTTAGTGGATTGGAATTTGCAAAGAATATGTTTCTTGCAGGTGAGGTTTTGCAATCTCTGTAGCTTCTGATTTGGCCTATACTGTGTCCTCCTTGATCTCAAACTATTTACACCAGGTCACCTGGTCAAGGAAGTTCTCCATACAGACATTTCCATTCAGGTGTTATTTTACTCATTCCAAAAATGTATTGAGTACCTGCTGTATACCAAAGATGGTTGTTTCTGCTCTCTTTTGTCCAGGGGCATAGCTAGAAGTTTTAAACACCATCACAACATTTTAAGCTCACCGGGCCCCGTATAGGCCATCATTTACCAATTATTCTGTAGCCCTCGTTACTCCAAAGCACGATCCCAAGCTCTCTGTCAAAGTGTAAATCAAATTATTGAAAGAATCAGCCCATTCATTAAAAACTCTACATGAGTCAATGGGGTCCTAGATATTTTTACTGGGTCAAATAATCATTTTTTTCCCTGTGTAAGTAAAGTTCTTCATTACCACAGTACTTTTTAAAGATTCTGCATTCCTTCACTTGTTTAAAAGGAAAAACCTTATTGGAAGTTTTGTGGTCTTCCCAGGGTCCAAGGTATTTGAGAGGAAGTCTTGCTGACTCTCACCCCAAAGTCTTTCATAGACAGAGAAGTTTGAGAAAGGAAAAATAAACTGACAGGGCACTCACAATTAATAGGTTGTTGGGAAAATCATGATGTCTTTTTCTGTTTTCCTATACAAAAATGTGTCATGACTTTCCTGACAATTCAATAGCAAGCCTGGTCAGTCAACTCAATGCTGCTGGGCTTAGGGATTTATCCGACAAGTCATTCTGACTGAGAGAACTTCCACCTTTCCTGGGGTATCAGGGATCCTGGGTATTAGTACTGATCCCAGTCAGTCTCACATTCCTTCTGGGCTAGGTTGGACAAGGGGTCAGCAAAAGTCTCTCAGCACTGCTAGCCAGAGAAGCGCCTTCTGACTTGACCATGGATGCCGGCAGGACTTTTTGTTCCACTCTTCCCTTGAGCTCTTTATGATTCATTCCTCAGTTACCTATGGAACAGTTGCTAATATTTCTGGGTTTACAAGGCACCCAGGAAGCGGGCAGACTGCAAACATTCCCCTTGACATCCTAGGACTTTGCTCCGATGTCAGTGTGGGTAGTGAAGTGGTCAGGCAAGCAGTGTGGGTTCTCGAGTTTGATGGGCAAGGTAGCACCTACCTCAACTATTCTGCTCCACCTGTTGTACAAGGAAAAACTTCCATAGCATCCATATGCCTAACCTGCTCGCCCTTGGCCTTCGTTAGTTCTCCTGGTAGATGGAATGTTGTTTATCTTAAATTATGAAATAGATATTCTGATTGCTTTTAGTTATCATGTTTTTCATTTTACTCCTTTATTAATAAATTATTAGGTTGTCAGGAAATCATGGCATATTTTTCTGTCTTTTTGTGCAAAAATACACCATAACTTTCTCAACAATACAATAGCTTTATTTTTTAAATTTTTGTTCTTTTTTTATCCATTAATTTATCTTAATTTGACAAGAGACAGAGAGGGGAAAGGTAAGAAAACAAGCCACCGAGTCCAGGACTTGAGCCATGGTTAGCCATGTGAGAGTGTTGGCATCTTAACCACCATGCCACCTAACTGGTTCCCAGCTTTTATAGATATAAGTTAGATCAGCCCCTAAATAGCCTTTAGGTAATTTTCCATCAGAAAATCAGGAGATGGCTACAATGATCTTTGGCTAGAACCTTCAGGTCAGAGCCCTTCCTTACTGGCAGCTGACACTCATAGAAGGACCTACAAGGTCACAATGGCAAGTAAGCTAATCAAAGTACCCGCCATTTTTGTGACCCTCCTCCATCCCTCCCGTA